CGGTTTGTGTTGATAATATTCGATCTATTCATTTTCATTTACGATTACCTTGTATCAGTTTCTGCAAATTTTCGCTTATTTTCCTTAGCACCTGCAGAAATATAAGACATTAGATTAAATTGTGATCAATAATAATTCAATTATATCAACTGATGCATATAATTAAACATCAATATGGCATATATGCATGCACACCAGTTAAGGGCCATTGCCATAGACTCTCAGGAATAATTGGAATAATATTCTAAATCTATAATTTACCTATATATGCCAGAAGATTAGATTTTGCTTTGCCTAGTTCATCAGGAAAGTCATCACACAGTTTTATTAATGTATCCCAATTGACATCTCTATCAGCATCAAACCACCTCTGGAATACCAAATGAAGTTTGGTATTTGCTGTGCCTTGCATGTCTATCAAATCAGCTGTTTTCACGCACAATCCAATCCCTATTGTCATATAATAGCAATCAGAAGAACCAAATATCTTCATGACTGCTGTCCGCTCCTTGTCTATATTAGATTAAAATATTTCTAATAGAAGATAAAATTTCACAAAAGAGTGACTACTCTACCATCAATCATTGTTCACCTGTTATAGGATCAGGATTATGTTCGGTATCTATTGATTCTCTTAGTGTTTCTCTGTGAATGCAACAAAAATATACTTGTTTATATTGTATAGTAAAGGATAAATATTTACTTTGAATCAGTCTCTTCTCTTTCAGTACTTTTTGCCCTGTCTGCTATAAAATGGTACATGCATAATATTAAATTTTGCAAAAACTTTTGAAAATAGCTTTATTACAGTTTAACAGTAAACATTAAAATAGCTCATAAGTTCTTACTTGTATGAAGTGGAGCATCTGTAGAACATTTAAACCAGCACCTGCACTTAGACTCAGAAATAAGAGATGAGCCAGGACAATCTCCACGTATATAATTGACTATAAATTTATCTTTATTAACAATGAGACAGTAACACTTCTTTTTATCATTTGGACAGGCAAATGCATTGGCATGATTGTGTTCCATATGTAGGTCATCAGTAACCTTGTCAATAGCCTTCATGACTGCTTTACGAATTTCTGAGCAATGCTTTTTAGGGCCAGTGAAAGCAATCTCAATATGAGTGTAACGATTGATGAAGTGAAGTGTGTGAGGCATTTCCTCTAGAGTAATTTGGATCGACATAGCATCTCTAAAATTGAAGTAAGAAGCTGGTCTAGACAAAGAAAGATCAATTTTCAATTCCTTTTTATTGTGGAGGTACATCAGTGCCAAAGGAAAAAGACCTTGAGGAACTGGTAGACACTTATTCTTGTCCATCCAAACTATAAGAAGTGATTGAGCATCTGACTCTTCTACTGTAAGAGCTTTAGATCCTCGATATGAAGGAAGAGCATAAGGAATAAAATAGTGACCCTTTTCATTACCTTCCACTTTTGTGATGATGTTGAGATGCAGCAAGAGAGAAATTAGGTGAGAGCATTCGAATTTAGAGTGACTAAAAATTTTAGTATTTGATTTTAAGCGAATAAAAATTTCTTCATAAAAGAAACCATCTTTAAGGTTGATTCTTTCAAATTTTGAAACTTGTTTTTGATCTAGTAGAATAGATTTTAGTAGTGAAAAATTGTCATGTTCATTTGTATCATCAAATGTATTTTCATCGTCAGCATGCTCATATGTAAGAGCTAATAGCTGTGAAAGAATGTCAAGAATAGGCTTAGGATCGAGAAACACCAGATGATCAAGGAACACTTGATCATTAATATCCTTTGCCTCTGGATAGTATAGCATTAGGCTGACGTCATGAAAATACTGTAACGCTTTTGTGGTATCTTCCTCTTTCATGCCGTATTTTTCCCCAATAGACGCTGCTTCCTTAAAAGTTATGATACTCTTATCTTCAGGCAAAGAGAGCTCAAAAGCAAACCATTGAATTGGTATTTTGATTGTAACAGAAGCATCAGAGCCATCCATCCATATTGCTTGGCAAACTTCTTTCCTGTATTTATCCCTTTCTTCTTTAGACTCAGCAACTGTGTTGACAGGAAATATAATAGAGTCCTTTGCTGTAGTAATGATACGATCTTTTAGGTAAGGTTGTAAAGAAGATATCGCAGAATTCAAATCAGCTTCATATGTTCTTAGAGTATCTCCTTTTATTTCATCATAATGTGTTCCCAGAACAAGATGCATTGAATGACGATGTGCCTTAGTGATACAAGAAATATGAAGAGATTTAAAATTGGCTGCTGTCGAAACAGCAGACTGGAAAGATGCTAACTGTGTTGATTTAGAGCGGCACAAAAAATATTTTCCATCAGCCCTGTACATCATGTCAAGCTCATCATCAAGAGGTTTAGAAAGATCAAGAGTGATGATATTAAGAGAAGCTGCTCTAGTAAACAATGGCAATAGCTCCTGATATGCTGGTTGACCACCAGAATCAATAACATATAACCAATGGCGTTTTAAATGAATACCTTTTGGATCTTTTGCCAAAATTTCTTGAATTACCTTCTCAGAATAAAAATCAACACCGTCTTCTATTTGTTTTAATGACGCTGAATCTTTTGTAACACTTGATGCTTGTGACTGATCAGTGCCATCTGATGGTACAGCATCTGTTCCTGAGTCTTCTATTTTTTCATGTGATGCTTCAATTAAATCAGCTGCTAAACCCTCCAATAACTCATCTCTTGTTATTTGTTTCCATTTCTTGCTCTCATCATCTGCAGCTACTGCTCGGACTGTGGGACAAGCGATTTCTGTGCTGTCATTAACTCCCTCAGTTGGAGCATCTTCACCTAATAGTAGGAGCTGTGCACAGGTTTTACCAGCTCCAGGGACACCAAGCATGTTAACACGGGTAACAGTTAGATCAACGCTCCCTGTTGTCATCCATTTGTCTAAAGCACCTAATGAAGTGGAGAAATTTTTTGACTTAATGCAAATTAATCTAATTCAATTTGAATTGATAATTTCAAACAATAAATTTAGCTAATATAGAAGGCATAAGAAAGTTGCTCTGTTGATGTACAGCAACTTCTGCATACATTATGCTCCTGCTTAAAATTACGTGTCCTCATACATCAATCAATGTGGTCCCTAGACTACATGTCAACATTAGTTAACACCTGCATGACAACCATACATGCAAATAATATTGTCTAACCTAATTTTTTTAGATCTTCAACATGAACCTTCTCTTCTACATAAAATAAATAGCAGTATACATGTATAAACCTTCCAAAGTTAATAAATGTGATACAGATTTTAAAACAGCTATACCAGCTGATTGCAATTAACATGCAGTATAGAACATGTCTAACAGGGAAGACAAGTAAAAGATAAATCAAGCTTGATAAGTGGAGAGTTTACAATTACCAGGAGGTTAATATACATGTATAAGTGTTCCTGGGGGTTTCTAAATAGTCAGTTTTGCACAGTGGTAAAATGATCTAAAAGCCTCTACTTGATCAGTTTTAAACTGTGCATGAGAATTGCCTTACATTTGAGTTTCATTTTTATATACCGTATATTTAAAAAAATTGTGGCCTAAAAATATTGTGAATCCATCTAAAAATCAATTTTGTGGCTTTAATTTTTGTGATTTTCTACTTTTCAGTCATCTAGAACCATATTTAATGGATTTTGTGGATTTTCCCCTAAATTTTTAAAGAACGCAAAATCCATGAAAATTATGGGCCACAAAAATTTTCCACTATTCTGTAGTATGCATAATTTTGATGATTATTGCAGTTGTTTATGAGCTACATGTAGCTGAAATGTTGAACTACTGAGCAACAATATACTGATATATTACACTCTGAATCATTGATAATGTTAATTACAGGGACAGCTAAAAGATAAAGCTGTAAGATAAATAAAAATAACAACAGCCTCTAGTTATTTTTGAAAGATCATAGTTATTGAATGTAACTTTTGTATGGGAGTATTGAGAATATTTAATTCTTTTAACTTACCTATATATGCCAGAAGGTTAGATTTTGCTTTGCCCAGTTGATCAGGATAATTATCACACAGTTTTATTAATGTATCCCAATTGACATCTCTATCAGCATCAAACCACCTCTGGAATACCAAATGAAGATTGGTATGTGGTTTGACTGGTAGCAGCAGATCAGATACATTTACATTCAATCCAGTCCCTATTAGCATGTAACAGTGAGCAGAAGAACCAAATATCTGTGTGACAGCTGCCATAGTAAGCTCCTTGTCTATTATAATAGATAATGTGTAGTAAGCTTATTATTACCTCCACCAAGTGTACCTGTAACTATAGGACCAGGATTGAGTTCAACATCTCCTGATAAGAGGAGGAGCATATGTAGACAAACAATCAAATAGAGATCATTGTAAATCAGGTTAGAACTGCTGCCTCCAGGTAAGACTACTAACTGGAGGTAATTTGTATCAGTAACAGTAACACCAGTAGTATATTGTACTTGGTAGCAGTTACCTAATAGTAAAATACCAGTAAATATACAAGTACAAAGTTGCAATTGTTGTTTACCTGTTGGAGGAATCATCAAGATGCGTCTTAATAAAGAGAGAGAGAGAAAGAGGAGGAGGAGGAGGAAAGCAATAAGAGACAGAGCTGCTGGCAGTTTAGATGTCTTCTCTCCTGATGTAGTACTATCTGACTTGCTGTCTACTGCAGCTTTGAATGAGTGAGAGTGGCGGCCATTAGCTGGTCTACTGAAGGCAGCTTGACAGTAGTTCCACAGTCCAATACTTGCTCTCCATTGAGAGACATCAATCATCTTTAAAATTCTTGTATTTGTAGACTTAGTAGTATAGTATAGGCACAGGAAGCAGATCTGTAGAGTTTATTGTTACACTAAGAGGAGGGAAGAGTTTGTATAGGACATACCTATCAAATTTCAATACCATCTCCCCCTCACTGTAGTACATGTGAACTTTTATTATTTCCTTCTCTTTTGTCACAATTGTCATCCATAATATCTACCAGTACATTTTATGTATCTAATCCTAGCATTGATGTCATATTTTAGTAGCTAGTACATATTATACTGTCATCATTATAATCATGTAAATTTTGTTGTCATAGTGTTAGCAATCTAGTATTGACAATGACTGATTACAACAGTATTATATGTACATGTATATGCTTTTCATAAGGAAGACAGGAGGGAGTGAATGAGAGATGGGAGGGAGAGGGAGAAAGAAAGAGGGTGAGCCATATAGTGATAGAAAGGGGAGGGAATGTGATATACCTGTTTACCATTATAATGTACACAGTTCCCAGTAAAGAGGGAGGGAATAGTTTGTACAATATGTTATCATAATACCTCATCTATACTATGTACTCACCTCTCTCTATCTCTCATGACACACACTATGTATTGTAGGTATGTGGCATGTGTCATACAGGTGCAGGAAAACTTTCAAAACATACAATATAATAGTTTTAAATTGCTAAACTATAGTAATTGTGCAAATAAGTAATAGGCTACTGACTAATGTTATGCTGCTAGATAAGTTACTAAATAAGTATTATTTTGTTCAGTACTTTCATTAATATAGGTGTTATTTTCTCATCAGTTCATCTTCAGGTATATTTGATAACTGATACCAGATGTACTTAGCAGCTACATAAGTAGAGAACTCCTTCCAAGGGGCACAGCTAGCTTTGTCCATGTCACCCCAATCAGCAATTGCTTTGATAACTATACCCTCAAATTCCTCTGGCTTCCCTAAAATAGCAGCTGCTTCCATTTCACCTCCAAGTGCTTGTGGAACTTGACGTTGTATTTCATCTTTGTGCTGTTGGCTGGTGTTGAGTGAAGACTCAGTGACTAATATATCTTCTCCTGTCAAGACATTAACATCGTAATTGATTCCATTGCCTAATGTGAATCCATGATAATTCTCAAATATGTCATATAGTGTTTTCCCGCTATGGTAATCTTCAATTTCAAGTTCACTTTTACTACCATCCTTATACTTTGCAATTGATGTTTCTTTCATTCTTTTTGCTACAAGAATGGATCCAAACTTAGTTTTCTTTTTGCCTTCTTTCATGCCGTAGCAGATACCAATTGCAATGACATATTGAGCTTTCACTACTTTTTGAATCTTCTGGAGCTCTTCTGAAGTGACCTCTTTACCTTGTTCAGTGCGTATGATGGCTACTTTGTACTTTCCATACATTGCAATGTAGAACGTGATTCCTTTTGAACTTGTTCGTGTATATTTCTCTCCATTTATCGGTGTAGCCTGTCCCATTACAGCATTGAACTCAACATTAGTGGCTGTAACAAGAACGATATTGATATCTTTCACAAGATCATCAGTAAATGGCTCATTTTGAATTTTGTTTCCAAGATCTGGACACTTAACATCTGGTGGTTTGATAAATGCTATTAGTATTATACCAATAGATAATTAATTAAAAGGTTTATACTTACAAGCTGAAGCTTTAGCACCACCTTCATTGATCCTATCAACAATAAAATTAAATAATTATTAAACTCTAAGCAATTCTTTCAATCTAATTCTTTTGACTCCAGCTCCTCATAGCCACTAATTTTTGACTTACCCCAAATCAATGTCTTCACTCCCTTGTCCACCAGTTGTAGTACCTACAGTTGTATACTTGTACATTATATATCCTTCTCTTCTCACACCCTTCCTTCCTCTCTCTCCCTCTTTATAGCTCTCTTAGTAATATAGATCTAATTCATGTCATTACTGCATGCACATAAGTGAGGAAGTAAATTAGAATAAGGAAAGGAATATGATAAAGTGTAAATTTATTACCTCTTATATTAGTAACTGGTGTATTGGATATATCATCAACTGTGGTGGTAGTACAGTATGTGAACTGACATTATCAGGTATAGACTGACCTAACGTATTGAGATATAATGACTATATTGATCACTGATAATGTACACACACTCACCTAACTGGTGTAATATAGAGGTAGCAATATCTGTTAGTGTACGATGTTGTTGGTTTATTAATACATGACATATATCAATAAGATACTGCTCTGAATTAAGAGAGGGTTCCAACAGTCGTTGTATCACAGACACTAATTGACTTGATTTCCTATAATCAGATATTCCTGTTACTGTTTGTATATTCTCTTTAGTATCCAGTGGTATCAGTCCTTTAGCACACAGTGCATCAGTTACTCTGTAAAGGTTAGTAGTAATAGCATCAGTGAGTTTACCAGAATGAGTCCTTAATATATCCTTTGGATTACCTGCAGTAGTGTATCAGTTAATGAGTGTTGTATTAAGTGTATGTTTTATCACCTTGAGACAATGTAGAGAGAATGTGATCTTTAATATTTTGAGCTAGTCTATTCTCTCTTATTGTAGTCAGTGCATCAATGACATCTCTCCATGTTGCTTTAGGATTGACTGACAACCATTTTGAGTATAATGCTAACTTTCTGTCTTCAATTTTTACGTGTTCTTGTTCAATTTTTAAAATGTCGTGCTGTTCCATTCCAATTAAACATAAACCAAATGGTTTCCAGTCAACAAGTGGTGCAAGCCATTGAATTAATAATGGAATATCAGGTCGATCATCAATCATAGGACCAGGATTGAGTTCAACATCTCCTGATAAGAGGAGGAGCATACGTAGACAAACAATCAAATAGAGATCATTGTAAATCAGGTTAGAACTCCTGCCTCCAGGTAAGACTACTGACTGGAGGTAATTTGTATCAGTAACAGTAACACCAGTAGTACATTGTACTTGGTAGCAGTTACCTAATAATAAAATACCAGTAAATATTCAAGTACATAGTTGCAATTGTTGTTTACATGTTCGAGGAATCATCAAGATGTGTCTTAATAAAGAGAGAGAGAGAAAGAGGAGGAGGAGTACAGCAATAAAAGACAGAGCTGCTGGCAGTTTAGATGTCTTCTCTCCTGATGTATTACTGCCTGACTTGCTGTCTACTGCAGCTTTGAATGAGTGAGAGTGGCGGCCATTAGCTGGTCTACTGGAGGCAGCTTGACAGTAGTTCCACAGTCCAATACTTGCTCTCCATTGAGAGACATCAATCATCTTTTATACGTAGACTCAGTAGTGTAGTAAGGGCACAGGAAGTAGATCTGTAGAGTTTATTGTTACAGTGAGAGGAGGGAAGAGTTTATATAGGACATTCCTATCAAATTTCAATACCTCTCCCCTCACTGTAGCATGTGAACTATTCTACCATGCATAATTATTCCTAATGTACAGTAATGTACTGCTATACTGAAGATTATAAATTGTGTATCATTAATGTACAATGATTCCAGTACTTGATACAGCATGAATAAGGTCCAAATATTAATAATCATGAATGTTTATAAAAGGCACATACACTTGATTTGTCTTACATACATTGTTGGTTTATTCTGATGACTAATACCAACAGTAGTCCTCATATCATCTCCTGTATGTATATAAACTCTACATAAACAGAAAGCATTTGGACTTAGCCATGGCTATGTTTAGTTAAAGGAAATGTTATGATAAACTTTAAAGACTAAGGGACAACATGATCCATTAAAATATTAAAAGAGTAAATGAGAGATGGGAGGGAGAGGGAGGGAAAGAGATCAGAGGAAGAGAGGCCAGAGTCATAAAGTTCTGTCTGATTCTGATAACAGTTAGATTGCCATCAGTAGGTAAACTAAGTACTTGTTAATGAGCTCTGATACTAAGATAGCTATAGTGATAAAAAGGGGAGGAAATGTGAAAAGAGGGAGTAGATAGTTTGTATAATGTTATCTTATGCCTACCCTCTCTCTTCAAGGGCCACTAGTTGTTATTTAAATAGGCAGATTTGTCATTCATCTGTCACAAGTAGCCTACAGATGTGATAAAGCTAGCTGTTTGAAATAAGCATTATAAAATTTCAAAAATGTCTATCTCTATAGTAAAAAACTAGTCTATAAGAAGTACAACAATTGATTAATAATCATATGAAACTCAGCCTAGTTTAGATTAATTATAGTTTCTTTCAATGGTTTATGCATCCTCGTCCATCAATCCAAGCACTGTAGGACAAACCTTGCACACGAGACAGCTCCAAACGGTTGCCACTTCTTGTCTTTTTCTTCTGTCCCCCAGTCGACGATAGCTTTTATTACGATCCATTCAAATTCTCCTCTCTCAGCAGCCTTATAAATACCTTTTGCTTCCATTTCTCCTCCAAGTGCTCTTTGGACATATTTCAACTTCTCTTCTTTTGCTTCTTTGCTACGAAACAGTGTGAATTCAGAGGCCAGAGAACCTTGATGATGAACTTTAACTACTTTACCTTTAATTTGAAAAACTTCATCATGTTTGAACAGTTTAAAAAGATTCTTTCCACATGGGTATGTGTTAGTTAAAACTACTGTATCTTTTCCTTCAATACGCTGATGTGCAGTGTCGACAATACTTTTGGCAACAATAATGTCACCTAAATTTGTTTTGTCGCTAAGTTCTTTTGTTTTGCTCTCCTTTGCTCCATAGCATATCCCAATAGCAATGACATACTTAGCCTCCACATCTTTTTGAACCGAAACAAGAATTTCTTCTGTCTCATCTGGGCCTTGGCCTGTCCTAGTTATTGTAACATGACACGACCCGTATTTTGCCAGGATAAAATTTGCAGATTTATCTTTAGTGATAACTCTAATAAAATTACCATCACTGCAGGTACATTCGATTGCACCCATCACAGCACGGTACTCTATAGTTGTAGCAGTCACCAGAATGTAACGAACTTCTTTTATGATCTCCTTCTCTTTATCAGTAAGCTCTGCAAATTTTTTCTTCTGAATTTTTCGCTCAATGTCTTCCAGTTCTGGGCAATATTCGCTGACATCTGGAGGTGGATCTGACTCTATGATTATGTATGTTACTGTTAGAAATTAAAAAATTTCCTGACATACTTTGGTCATCACTTTTACTTGTGTC